GAGCCCGCGCCGAGCGTGCGCCTCGCCCTCCTCCCGCGCCCGCTCTGCTCTAGGATGCTGCGGCAGGTTCTGCACAGGGGCTTGAGGACGTGTTTCTCCCGGCTCGGCCACTTCATTGCCAGTCACCCGGTCTTCTTCGCCTCGGCGCCGGTGCTCATCTCCATCCTGCTCGGCGCCAGCTTCAGCCGCTACCAGGTGGAGGAGAGCGTGGAGCACCTGCTGGCGCCCCAACACAGCCTGGCCAAGATCGAGCGCAACCTCGTCAACAGCCTCTTCCCGGTCAACCGCTCCAAGCACCGGCTCTACTCGGACCTGCAGACCCCAGGGCGCTACGGCCGGGTCATCGTCACCTCCTTTCAGAAAGCCAACATGCTGGACCAGCATCACACCGACCTGATCTTAAAGGTGAGAGTGGGGCGGGTGCGGGCAGCCACCGCCTGCGCCGCCGCCGGGCTGCTCTGCGCTAGGGTCCCGGCTGAGAGCGCCACCTCTCCTATCCCAGTAAGCTGCCGCAGGGGCTCCCCTGCACCGCGCGCCCCAAGGCGGCAGACCGGAGCCTCCCAGCCGACTGGGCAGGGAGCGTCCGGGTCCGGGCCCGGCCCTGTCCGCGTCGCCTCCGCCGCCACCCCGCAGCTGCTGCAACAGTTGGGGCGGCGGCGGCCGCGGTGCTGTGGTCTGTGCGCTTGTTTTGGTCGCAGTGGACTTGGGGGCGGGGAGGCTTTGGGGTAACTGGGCCAGAAAGGAGCAAAACAAGAGAAGATATTCTAGGAAGTCCTGCTACTTGAGAACGACATACTATGCTTGGAGGGGATTCCGAGATATCCCTCCTTGTCTAATTTTTTCTTCCTTCCTCTGGTCCACGGAGTATTTAGGGAAAGACTGCTGGGGGTTGGGGGAAAGAACGGGCAGAGGAATGTGAGGCGGGATGGTGAGAAAAATGCCTCTCCCATCCACCCTTAAAGAAGTGTGGTCCCTGGCGATGACAGAGGGCTGCCCTGCTGCCCCCGTCCCACAGAGCGAGGTAGCCGTCTCTGTCTTCTAGGGTAGGAAATTATATGTGTAATTCGCGGTTATTTCATCTTTCACAGTAGCTCCTTTCCTCTGAAATGCAAAAACTTTGGGGAAAGAGGGAACTGATGGATCCACTTTTATTTGGGTGCATTTGAGCTTGGAGGTGAGGGGCAGAGCCAGAAGGGTGGGAACAGAAGCCTGGCCCTGAGAAGAGCACAGGAAACCTAGCAGCTGGTTAGAGGGTAACACTCGCAGAAATCGGTTGGGCCAACGGCTTGAGGTGAATTTGATGGGAAAAGTAAGGTTAATGGTGGTAACTTTCAAGAAGTTATAAGAAAGACAGAGAAGTAAAGACTAGAGATGGAAAAGTGGAGACCACAAGAGAGACGGAAAAATAGGTGAGAATGTTCCATCTGAATCCCTAATGGGGATTGTGGGGATTGTTTACTTAAGGTTCTCCTTTGGGGAGGACAGACAGGAATCAGTCCCTGCTGGGACCCTGATGCAGAGAGATGGAAGGTGCTGGTTTCATATGGGTCTCTAGTCCAGATCTGAGATTAGAGGTCAGATAGATTTCTAGTCTACTTATCCCAAGGATAGTCTGCCAGTGAACCTGGGAACTCTCCTTTTCTTTCCCTCTACAGGTAATAGTTTACCCCTAGAGGCAAGCTAATTTTCCTCTACTATTTCCCTCTCTCTGTTTGTTGACATGTTATCAATCAGCAATTAGTAATAAGGGGGATCTGACTAGGACCCAATGGAATTGGGACCTTCCCACGTTGAGTGGCTCATGGTATTTTTAATGGCACACAAATCATCACACATCTACTCATCGGAAAACCTTCGTAGTGTTAATCCCAAGCTGTTTGCTTTACTCATGAGTATACTTCCAACATCAAAATGGTTTTTTTCAATACTTCAGTGACCATATTTTGGCACACAGATAAATACTGATCCAAATGCTTTCCCAAGAAAACGTAGCAGATTCATCCTGGGCTTAAGGAAACTATAATTTTGCCAGTCTTGACAGCAGGAAATGTCCCATCTTTTGATTGATGATCTACTAAACGATGTTTCTCTTTGTATTTTTTCAAGGTGATGTTTCCACTGGCTTTTTCCCCCTAAAAAACCATCACGCCACTGACAGGCAGTCACCAGTTATATTCACTCTCAAGGTTAATGAGACATCAACAGGCACATCAGATCTCTTTTCACCTGGATTCTTTCTCCCCTATTTGATTTTGATCAGTTCAAGACAGAAAAAAGCATTATAAGAGAAGGTTGGGATGAGAGAGAGAAAGACTGGCGTTTCTCCATGTCTAAAAGGGAACTTTAAAGGACAGTGGTCAAAATAGTGGATTGTTTTAAGAAATGGGATGGTTTTACATGTTCTAGATGTCTGGGTAAAAGCAAAACCAAGCCTGGTGGTGGTCTGCATTCATTTCTAGCTGTTGATTCTGTGGTCAAATGAGTTCATACAGCGTAAAAAACCCAGATTTATGAAACCAAGGGAATTGCCTTAAATTTTAAATTATATATCCATTTTTTCTTTCTATGTCCAACCCCTATTTTTGGTAGTATGGAGCCAGGGGACAGGAAAATGGACCTGCAGTAGTCATGGTAATGTAAAGTGTGGGAGTGAGCACTTTTTTTTTTCCATTTAGAGACATGACAACTTGTCCTTTACAAAAGGTGTCAGGAATGAAAGAGTCACTGTTATTGCTGTTACTAGTGTTATTCTGATACTTCGTTACTGGCATCAAGGATAGCACTGACAGTTAACACTGTACACAACACCAAACAGTCTCTGCCTGTTTATGGCATTGCACTGGAAGTGAAGTGAAGTGGACCAAGTGTAAGCGGGGTTTGAGACTTTCTCAGGCCCCACTACAAAACTGGATGAAGTAACTTTCAGGGTTATGTAGGATGCTGCTTCCAGCATGAAGAGTAAAACTCATTCTCTCCTCATAATGTGTTGGGACTGGACACGTTCAATGAAGGACATCCTTCTTGAGATATTAGGCCAGCTACTTGCTGACCAAAAATAGACTGGGAGGAGATAATGACAAAAAATAAAAATTCAAATTGACTTTTTAAAATGCAATTCAGGGTATCACAAAAAAAATCTATGCTTGAAAATTCATCTGATCTGATTTGGAGGAGCTTTCTTAAAGTTGTGCAAGTGATATGGTTACTACACTCTGACTCCATAGCATAGAATTTGACCCCACACTATGAGGGGGTGACTCTCTTAAGCAATGGTTTCCTCTAAATGCCATGGGCCAAATATGTAATCTTAAAGCAAAAGTGTAGAGACCTGATGGTGCTGGTAAGGACTCAATCATTAATTTCTGAATCTCTTTGAATACATGTTGCTCTTCAAAAGTCTTCATTTTGCTAGACAATTAAATTTAGCTGATTATATCTTTAACAGAAAATCCATGATATTCATCTCAGAGCAAATTTCAAAGTAGGAGCTTACAAGCTTTTATGCATATGTTTTTTTCGTGATCGCCTAAAATGAGGTGTAAGAAGTTCCCGTTGATCATTGATCCAGGTTGTGACCGAAACAATGCTTGATTTATTCCAGAATCATCTGTGTAGAATGAAGAATCAGTATAACCCAGTCTTACATCCCAGCTCATACTGTTGTTCTAACAGCTGTAATTGGATTGTAAGGACACTCTTGACTGATTCTGTCTGGTGTCAATTAAAATTCCCCTACAGAAAATCCAGATGTCCAAAGTAAAGCATAAGATATTTGTAATTTGCAACATGCAAAGATGGAAAGATAGAAGATTTTACTGGAAAAATCTCTGGATGATTGAGCATAGCTACTTTCTCTTTGGGTGCTTTTCATTGGCAGGGTTCAGGTGGATTCACTTTAGTGACTCACACAGTCCCTGGCACATAGTAGCTACTCAGTAAATACTTGTTGAATGAATCTTCCCTAGTTTACTGAGACATTCATGTGATGGGTTAAGAAAAATTCCACAGGAGCTACTTTGAAATATATTTGCAAAATGACATTTTTATATTTACAACTTTACAGGCAGTGTCTAGGCTTCTTTGTTTGCAAGACACTATTCTTCTATCCTCAATGACCTCTGTAGTCATATCAAAGCATATTTCAGTTTTAAAATTGGGTAGTGGCATTTCCTTTGTACAATGTCCTCTTCTTCATAGAAAACTCATAGGATGTGTTATTTCAAACCAAGGGAAGGACACATCCTCATTAAGCAAATATTCTTCCATTTATTAGAGAATTTTGTTCAAATATCGAGTTTCTGTTTTACTTAAACCTTTTACGTTTAAATGCATTAAATAGAAGTAAGTTGCAAACAAGGTTAATCAAATCTACCTTGGAGTTATTTACTTCAGGCTTTCCAAGAAGGGGAGCATAACTACTAGCTCAGAGTCACAGAGTCACAAAAACTGGGTAGCTGGATCTAAATCCCAGCTTTTCCAAATACTGTCTCAACACTTTCAATCATTATGGGAATCACCATCATTTCTTCCTCTACAATCTAAGGATGGGCAAATTCCAGCTTAATTTTGGACTTAGAATGAGTTTTTACATTTTAAAAGATTGCAAACAAAACAAACAACCAAAAAAAGAGAAGACTATGCAGAAGAGACTGTGGCTCACAAAGCCTAAAATATTTACTCTCCTTTACATTAAAAGTTCCTATGTTGTACTCCAAAATCCCATTACTAGAGCAATTTCAGGAAGTTAATACTGGTAAAATAAACTGTAAGGCAATAGTTCTCAACTAGGGGTGACTGTGCTCTCCAGGGACATCTGGCAATGCCTGTAAACATTTTTGGTTGCCACAACTGGTGGGGTGTGTGCTACTGACATCTATATATTATAGGAACCATCCTACAATATACAGCATAGCCCCCATCACAAATAATTCTTTAGTCCCAAATGTCAATAGTGCCAAGGTGAAAGAACCCTCCACCTTCTACATTTCCTTTGTTTTTGGTAGGACACTTTTTCAGCTACATTGATTATGTAAAATTTTTTTAAAATGCCAAAGAGAGGTTCACATCCAAAAATGTTATAGAAGTTTGAGGACAAATATCATGACCTCTGAGGTGATATTCTCTTGGGCAATTGGGCAGACACCAGATTCTCCAGTATAATCTTCCCCAAGATGCAGGTTTTTTGCTCTCTCCTATACTCCTGTCCCTTAAGATCTAAATCTCACCCACTGTGGAGGAACCTAAGAAACTGAATGCAGTATAACTGCTTGAATGACATAGCTGCTAAATTGACACTGGCCTTTGAGACTTGTCTATTAGTAGAGTGCCCATTATTGCCAAGTCTGAAGCCTCAATTTGTAGCAGTTGCCCACTTAGGCCAGGTTCCTTCTGACAATGTGTAAGAC